GCAAAAATAATAAAATTCTCAGCATCCCTTGTGAAATACCATCTTTTAAAAAAGTAAATTTTCCATGAATGAGTAGGGGATCAGCTTATAATGAAAACAATTAAGAGAGACATGAAAGATGCATGTGGTTAGGGCACAACTGCAGACTACCAACTACTACTTCCCACAACTTTTCCACACTTTAGTTTTGCTTCAAATATTTGTTGTGGGAGCAGAAAGCAAAGGAAGGCTTACCGTGGAATATAATTCTTACCCTCCCAACTTCAAATAACATTGTCTACATTTTAATTTAATGCCCACGTACCCTATAAGTCCTATAATTTACTATTATATCTTTTATGTTCTACCTAGTATAATATTTTGTTATTCTTGTAGTGTATAACAATGTCAGAACATCAATAACTTAAATGACACAGCTACAAACTTTTTTTCAATTTTTCACAGTTATGATTAAGCCCTAGAGAGCTTCTCAACCCCACAGCCCCGCTCCCCAAATACAGTTCACATACAGTCAAATAGAATGTAGCAGTTTTCCTGGATATCATGGAACATTGAAAGCCCTTTATGTCTAACAGGGTTATTACATTGAATGACAGACAGCACAGTTGAAGCTAAATCAAGGTGAAATTACTATGTACGTTATTATTATGTAGTCTGAGGTTAAAGTAAGAAAGTTGACAACATTTTCCATTAGAAAAAAAGGTGATTCTGCCTGGCCCCATTTTTTGGACAAGTCATGTAAGGATTATATATGTAGTTACATGTACGTTTGATTCCATACGTAAAACAGCAGCTTTTCATTGTTTCTCTAGTTCTTCTAATTGTTAAAAAGAATCAAACATAGAAATGAGAAAACATTATGCTAATACACTTGTAACATTAAATTTACATACTTGTTTCTTTGAAGTATTAGGAATGTTATATATTTTATTTGGCTTTGTAAGGACTGAAATCTTACAGATAATACAATCTACTTTTTCTTTGCAGAAAATATGGCTCTTTTCAGCTATTTCTCTGAGGTTCAGAGTGGCGTCTTTTTATCTGCAGCTGACTGAAGAACCAGATGTCTTTTTAAGCAATCAAGGATGCTACAGTATAGTTTTCCTATGGATTTTTTTTTTTTAAAAGTGAGCATGAAGTTTGTCTATACATTAATTTGTTGCAGCACAACCACTCCATTCAGGATTTGCCCTCTTCAAAGCTTGCAGTATGATTGCATGGACTGCCTTCTAGAGTAGTATCTCTAAGTGGCCACAGGAGGGCACTTTAAACATCTTTGCATTGCTTGTGAAGCAAATACAGAAGCACAGTGTTAGCTAAAGTCATATACAGTCTGTAAAATACTATTTAAAGTTGCAGATATCTATTCTTTGAAGTTCATAAAAATATAAAATATGTACCATACGACAATATTTGTTTCCTGATCTCTCTAATACTAATATATCTCCAAAGCTAATTTTTGCTTGTCTTTGTACCTCTCATTCCAATTGCACTTAATGATGTATCTTCGGGCTCTATCATCTTAGGATAGCTTCTATTTTCTTCTCCCTACGATGGTTCCAACCTTAGTTTTGGAGCCTTAGACTTGTTTGGTAGGAGCAGCAATTTGCACACACCAATGAAAATTGTACCTCTGTTTATGATCTATGATAAAGAAATTACAAGTTCTCTTAACAATGACTTGTGGTCATGAGCTGTGAGCCATCACTGGAATCAACAGGAAGAAAGAGAAGACATTGGAAGCAGGAAACGTTGTTCCAAAAACCAGCCTTATTGTAACATTTGCATTCCCTTATCTTGAACAATTCTGGCTAACAGAAATAACTTTGGATAAAGTGATTCAGATGACATACACCAACTAAATGAAGAGTGAACAATATCCTCTGTATCTGAAACAGTAGGATAGCATTACAGCACAGCAGCTGAAAAGATTTCTGCAAATTGGCTTATTGTGAAGGGCCATTTTCTATCCCTTTTTTCTCTCTCTCTCCTTCTCCTGCTCTCCGTTATCAATAGTTCCAGCAAATGTAACTAATTGACTCAATATTACAACTATTCTCGGCCATGTTTTAGACTCAAAATACACTTGAATCAATGCCTTCTAATGCATTTCTCAAGAAAGCATTCAATCTTCAGGTTATTCTAATTCTAAATCTTTAATTTAACTGATATACCAGAGCCTCTGACAGCATAATACAGAATATATATGAACAAAGGCACCCATGCTTTCTTGTTACCTGTTTTTTTTTATGTAGTGCTTCAGTGGAATTTAAATGGCTGCCCTAATAAGAGCTTTGATAGGAACCTTTTTTATAATTTGTCTTCCTAGAGTGCAACCTTTTCAAGGAGGAGCTTTTTCCCACTTTACAGAAATACTGGCATTGTATAGGAAGGAATTCTTAACTCAATTGGAGAGCAAATACTTTGGCTGCAGAAATGTCCAAGGTTTAATCCTTGGATTCTTGGGTTTATATATGTATCTTAAAAAACAAAACCAGGATCTTTACTTGCAGGGCATTTCCCAAGGTTAGTGGAACTGCTGCCGGTCAGAATAGAGAAGATGGAACTCAAGAGAACCATGCTCTGACAGCGTAAGGCAGCTTTGTATATTTCATAGGATACAGAATATTTGTTTCCTCGTCTTAAATTTTGTTCAAGTTTTATATCTTTAAAAACAAAAAGTTAGAAAGAATATAATAAATTTCATTTAAAATAAAGGTTATCTAAGATCGGGGAAACCATATATTTTAATATTTTATTTTGCAAAATTCTGACCTTCTTCTCCTTTTATTTTCTGAATGCAAGATTGCTTCTTTTAAGAGATGCAAGAAAGAAGATGTCTTACAGCAGCCTGCTAAGATGTAAGATCATTCCTTGAGTCCTTACCATAACATGATCATAAATTTATTGGTTTGAACAAACCTATCTGTCCACAGCTGCTGAGTTTTACTTGCACCATATATAAATGGTTTTTCTTGTGCCATTTTGTTTTGCTTTGTGTTTCTGGTTTGGTCGATGAGCTGAGTGGTGGCTTAGCAGTATTCCTAGCGTTACTCAGCCTTCCTTGCTTTCCTTGTTTTGCCAATGTATGCCTCAAAGAAGAAATGACAGAAAAGCACAAAGTAGCTGAGGTACATGAGGGAACACCAAACAACGTTGTAAACATGTGAGTGGCATTGGCCTTGTTGCATCCAGGCGAAAACCAGGTAGTTGATTATGCAGCCAACAAACATCTGTGTAATCTGTGACAAGGTGATAAACATGGCAAATTTGCGTGATACTCTGAAGCCCGCAGCCCGCAAGGCATAATATGTGTACATGACTGCATGTACTCCATAGTTCATGGTCATAAACCAGCCACCACCAGCCACCATGTCCTTGTAAGAGTACCAAGAATATAGTAGTACTGTAATATGATGATACCAATGGAGGAAGATGAGCTTCTGTTTCCTAAGAATAATAAATATTGTATCTCCTGCAGGGAGAAAAAAAAAAAGAGAATAGTATAAATATGTATATTGTACAACACTGTTGTAGGAAAAAAACCAAGACATTAAAAGAACCCTTTGAAATATTCTGAAACATTACATCAGTTTAAAAATGTAGGTGTTCTTTAATCACAGAAATAAGGATTTTCTACAGAAATATTTTGAATGCAATATCACTTAAAATTGGCTTTAGAATCTTTAATTGTGACCATTTGTATTTGTTTGTATAATGACATCATAATAAAAATCTCTGCCAGGCCCTAACTTTAGATTCAATTTTTATTTCTTAATAAGGAAAAATACACAAGAAATAATCTCCATAAATTATTAAATATCAGTTAAATACATCTTTATGATAATCTTATACTTCTAGAATAGATAATAATTATGCCTGTAATTAGCATAATCAAAAGAACATATAGCAATGAAGAAAATACTTATGTTCTAAATCAGAGGTGGGTTTCAGCAGGTTCTGACCAGTCCTGGAGAATCGGTAGCAGAAATTTTGAGTAGTTTGGAGAATCCATAGTAAAAATTCTGACTGGCCCTGGCCCCATCTATTCTCTGCCTCTCAAGTCCCAGCTTATAGGGAGGAAATGGGGATTTTGCAGTAACCTTCCCCTGGAGTGGGGTGGGAATGGAGATTTTTCAGTATCCTTTCCCTGCCATGCCCACCAAGCCACGCCCACAGAACCGGTAATAAAAATTTTTTAAAACCCACCACTGTTCTAAATTACAATATGCTTTCTGAGCATGTTAATGTGCTTCAAGCCTGATTAACCTTGTTTATTCTCTTCAGATCTTTAGAATGAAAAATATTTTTTTATAGAAAACAAATATCCAAAACAGTAAGAGAAAAATAATTGTAGTTACAAAACATTAGTGTATCTTAAGGCAGTATTTAATATGAATTGCAAGGAAACTTTAAATCTATGACACAGTTGGTTCAGCTCTCTCTTTGGATTAAGCATCTCAGATTTCCAGCTGAATTGTGAAGATGGTGCAAGGGGGAAAATATATTACCCCAGAAAGATTAAAAGTTGCTAAGATCTACACAAATCTGCTTTTCATATTGTGAGTTGTAACACAGACCTGATTTTAGTGTGAAGGATATTTTAAAGGCGGGGGTACTGAAAAATATAGTTCAGTGAATTGCAATGGTTTAGTCCTGAGTATGCAATACTGCTTCAGAGGGTATATGCTGGATTTTTAAATCATAGTTAACTGTATCCTAAACAGTACATACAATACCTCTCTTTTCTCCCAAAACTCAATTCTACAATCTAAATTCAATATAACTAAAAAAGAATGTCATATTTTTCAGGTTCCCAAAAATGCAAATATATACATGTTCAACAGATTCAAAAGTTCCAGAGAACTGGCTCAAGATCTATCGTAGCATTTTTAGAGAAAAACCAAAAAGTTTGTTTAACTCCTAGGTATGGCTTTCAATATTTCATTGTATTTTGATTTGTGGCAACAAGTAAAATAAAGCTATAAGCCAAGTAGCAAAATCAAGATTTGTTTCCAGGGTCTGAGTAGATGTGATTTTTTTTTCTTCTTCTTCTCCTAGTAGGTGACCTGCAACTCTTACTTATTTTGCTAACAATTTTTTAAAAAATTTCTATGCTTTCCTCTTTATTTCAATTGTTTCTTTTAACTTTTAAAATTATATATTTACTACTGCATATTTCTCTGAGTGTTACCTTTGAGACACAGAAGATATACTTATATGCAGGCAAGTGCTTCAAAACTCAAATAAAGAATGATAGCAAAAGACAAGTTAGATGCTGTATTTTCATCAGTAATATTCTAGTCTTAAACACTTTCAAGTGCAACTACCGCAGAAGTTCACTAGCAAATATAAAATTTGGAATTGGAACTATTCCAATGAGTCTAAATATAAACAAAGATTTTTGGGCAGATCAAAACAGAAATAATCAAATATTTCTATAAATGGTTGATAAAGAGAATTATGTAAGGGTTTGCTGTAAGAGTGATGAATCATTCTGTGCTTGCAGCTCTTTGATATGTATTTGAAAAAAGAACACTTATATCTAGTGAATGTGCTGTAAAGCAATTTTTTTAAATTTTACATATCTCTTTTCACTACTATTCTGTTGTAGAATATGCGAGGATAAATTTAAAAACAAAATATCATCATACAGTTTATGATAAATTAACATTTGACCTGTTGGATACCTTTGATATTTCTATATAGAAAAATATTCTCAAATATTAGTTCCAATTAATTTTATTCTATCCTGTTCTCAGTGGTTTCCAGAGTGCTGGAATTAAAACCATGTATCAGACAAATTTAAGGACAAAGAAACAAAAGTTGAAAGAAAGTAGCACTATCATGTCAGTTTTCATTTTAAGATGAATTAAAAGATACTATAAAGAATTCTCTTTGTCACACATGAAAATGTGCATTACATGCACTGATAAGTGAGCAATAATATTCATGTAGCAAAATGTACGAGTAACTTAACTACCATGTTGCCCCGAAAATAAGACCCTGTCTTATATATTTTTGGCGCTTGGCCTTATTTTTGGGGAGGTCTTATTATTTTGGAGCACGTGGAGCAAGATGAGGCTGTCTTACCTGATTTCCAGTTCTGTTTAAATATTTTCGGGGAGGGCTTATTTTGGCGCATGCACTCAAAAGCCCGATTGGGTTTATTATCAGGGGATGTCTTATTTTCAGGGAAACAGGGTCTAATAATTAAAAAACTGAAAATGCATTGCAGAAAAAGGGTGAAAACAATCTCATTCTTTATTCTTATGCTCTGTTAAACAGACAGGACTTTGTTATTTTACCAATGACAGGAACATGGAGCACTAAAGATTTCAGGATGGAGAATATTCTAAAGACATAGGGCCTGCTTCTGCCTCTGCCTTAGAGAAATGGGATACACCTTCTCTGAGACATGTGATGGCTGAAATTTCAAGGATATGTTGTACATCTATTTTTTTTGGTGCTGCCACAATTTTGAATGTTCACTGAACTAATCGATGTAAACCAAGGACTACCTGTACTGTGCTTGCAATGAGCTTAGTTATAGGATTGGGGAAGTGTTTGGAATTTTTTTAAAAAAAGAGAAAAGATTTCTCAAAAGAGCCTAGAGTTTTCTAAACTATTCGTGTTGAATAATATCAAAGCATCTTAATGCATGTCACAGAATATTTTTTTTTGTTTCTTCTAGTCTATAAAATTTTAACCAATTAACGAACCTGGCTCTTTCCACAGCACTAAGACATTATGAATTTGTGGCTGCGTTAATCATTCTCTGGGCTAGTGCAGAATTTATTGTATGGAGGAAGTGCTACTTTCTAGCGCAAAGGTAGAGCTGGAGTGTAGAATAAAGAACAGAATTCAGAAATTTTATAATTCAAATCGAAACTGCATGGATTAAGAATTTCCTCAACTTTTTTGATATGCTATTCATTTTACAATTTGACTCGGGAGAGAAAGTGATTTTCAAACTTACAAATAAAAAATTCATCGGGATGCAGAGCAATATTTTAAAACCACTTAAAACACCAAGGTAAATTCTTTCGCAACTTTGCTTTTTTTTTCTTTCATTATGTCCCATAAAGTTTTTATTTTTATATTTCTTTTAAAAAAAGCCACTCACCTAATTCTGGTGCTTTACTTAGCACAAATGCATACGCCCAGAATTTGCTGACTGGTCCATTGTAAAAACTCTGGTCGCAAACAGATTGCTTCAGTCCTTTGGTCATCAATATATATACCATATAAGCACCCGTTCGAACAGCACCAAATATACTTTGTGACCATAAAGAGAAAAACAAACAATAGTCATTAACTGTAAGAAGCAATGGAGGCAAAATTTACAGACACGATTAGTGTGCAGAGTTGGTCATGTTTTTTCTTTTAAAAAATTTCACTATATGAAAGAATGAGGAACAAACAGAACACTTAAACATTACCTATATAAAAGTAACACTAACTGAATCACTAATTGAGGAAGAAAGCAAGAACAGAGGAAAATAACATGAACTGTTGTTTTTTTTCCCCCAGTGGTATTATACAAATATTAGTTCTATGAGAGAACCAATTCCGTCAATTTCTTTGTAGTTGGATATTTTGGATTCACAAACATAGTCTTTCCTGAGACAACGACTACTACTAACTACTACTACTACTACTATTACTACTACTACTACTACTACTATTACTATTACTACTACTAGCCTATATCCAGGCTAATTCAGATGATTTCTAGTTGGCAGCAAAGTGATACTGAAAACCTGTAGTGGCTGTCCTGATTTTTGCAAGTCCAGATATGTGAGTCTCCAAGGACAATGATGAATTAAGGAAAATCCCCAACCAAAACGTGGGGGAAGGGGGATCCAAAGTTGTTGAGGAAATTTATAAACTTAGACCTAAACATATGTACCCATAAATCATCAACAATAGTTTTTTAATCTGGTCAGGATTAGGTTTTAGTGTAGTGAAGTCAAGTGCAAAGAATCAAGACCATTTGTAAGGTTGCAGCATAGAAAATTTATTCAAGTCTAAGAATCTGGTCAAGTAAAGTTCAACACTAAATTGGAGCCAGATAAAGGCTCCGGAAGCAGTTGGACTTGGAGTGCTTGTGGATATGCAACAACTCTAAACTGATGATGCATTTAACTCTCTCGCCATAGCTCTGGCTACTCTTTTCCCACAAGTAAGGCCTCACCAATGTTATTATATTTACCTAAAAATCAACACCCTGATTAAAGAACCTCAGATAAAAGAGAGAATTCTTATCAATGGCAGACTAGTAATAATATTCCAAGCAATTTTACTTTATTAAGATGTGAAAGAGCAAAGGAAATGCAATACATATAACCATTTCTGTACAATTTCAATGCAATTTCTGTAAGGAATGCAGCATTATAAATGAAACTATGTCTCTTAATCTTATTATTGCAATGATAAAAAAAGAATCAATAACTTTACACTCTCGTCTTTTTCTTTTTTTATAAGAACTATCCATCATCCAAGGCTATTCCAATGATAATCTGAGCCCTGAAGCAAGATTGGAAAAACCCAGACAATTCGTTTCATCCAAGATTGCGGGGCATGGTGAGTAATTTGCAGATAATTTACAATTTGGTAATCATTAATTAAATTTTAAAACTTCATAGGGTATATGTGGTTCTGTGTGAATTCTTTGGAGATTACACTGTATACACATAAGCATATTTTAAATAAGTCAATCATTCAAATTTATTTTGCTCATGGACCTACAATAATGCAACAATTACACTAAAATAGAAATAAAAAGTCACATTGGCAGAATAAAATCAGGTAAAGATAAAATTATTAATGTAAAATTAGTATATAGGAATTAAAAGGGAAAAGAATCTAAGAAAGCTACAATTAATTTTACAATGAATAATCTAATAATCGACCCTGACCTGAGGTAATCTTTTTATCACAAGACCTATCACAAGACTCACAGATGACTCATCACAAGACCTGTCACAAGACCCTACACCCACACCTAAGCCTTATAAACAGAACACTGACATCCCCTAAACTCTGCTGAAGATGTTACCTAGCCTGGTAATAAAACATTCGGAAACCAACCCACAAGCTCAGAGAACAAACTTTTACCCTCAGCTTCTGGACTCTTAATTATTAAGTTACACATGGGGAAACATACATATCTGTAGATATATGTAGTTCTAGGCTGCATTAACAGAGAGATAATTCCTTCGAACTCTATGTTTTCATTTGAATTTAATGCAAATGTTTAAATGGATCACATCTCTTCCATGTGGTAAAAATATATTGTGAAGTTTCTGAAAGATGCCCTAATTAATTCATGAGCCATGAGCCAAACTTCAAAAGAAATACAGTCGTTTATTAGGAACGCCATTCCGGCAATATTCTGATGCAGTCAGAACTGACCTCACATAGATTTACGGTCCCCCATGACCCTGTCTCCCCCCTCCTCCCTGGCCATGTCATAAATCATATTCTCCAATCAACCACGTTGGCGGGCTGTGAAACCCACAGCCCCTCTACTGACTCCGCTAACCTAGGACACAATCTACAGAAAGGCATTTGTTGAATGTAGTTTCAGTTAGGGAAATCAAGCAGTTCCATCAGTTCACACCCCCCCCCTTCCTGCTTATGGCAACTTGAAAGCTTTGCAAGTTGACACGTATCTTTACATGATCATACCTTTTGTGGGACAAAAAATGTTTGAGAAAATGATATAAACATATATTAATAAATTTTCTATTCCATTAACAAAAGTTTAAAAGAGAAAATAAGTCTATCAACAATATTTTTTTAAATAAAACATTGCATTGTGGGTTTAAAGAGCCTTGGTAGTACAGGGGTTTAAGGCACCCTGTTATTAAGCTGGTTATTAAGACCAGCTGCCTGCAATTACTGCAGGGTTCGAATCTCGCCAAGGCTCAAGGTTGACTCAGCCTTCCATCCTTTCTAAGGTAGGTAAATTGAGGACCGTTGTGGGGGCAATAAGCTGACTTTGTATAAATATACAAAAAGATGAAGGCTATTGCTGAGCACATTGTAAGCCGCCCTGAGTCTTCGGAGAAGGGCGGCATATAAATCAAATTAAAAAAAAAAAAAAAGCATCAGCATATGTATTGTCCCTATATCCAACTTGCTCTCCAGATACTCAGTTGATATTTAGTTTACTAAATATCAGATGCTGTTTACTCAGATCTGTATAGAAGACAGATCTACCTTTGCACATAGAAATATAAATAGTCCTGGTGACACATAGCATTTTTTATTATCGTAGATCAGACTAATTCTAGCACCATGCTCTCAAATATAACTAAGCTTAGTTATACATGCCATGATAATCTTCACCTTATAATGTAGGAGATGTGAAATGTGAATTGTTTTATAATATAACTTGAAAATTTCACAACCTTGTTGGTTTCCAGTTTCTTACGAGGACAATTTAAAGTCCAGGCAGTTTACTTAAAATCTGAAGCAGCTGCTAACTGTTACCACATATCACGTGGTGATTCATGTGACCACATGAATACAGGGTATTTTAGCAGTACTTATAAAGCTTTATAGACATGGAAGCTGAAAGGACCTCATTTATTATTTACCTGTCGATATAACTAAGGAAGAAACAAAAAGACCAGAGGATGTCCTCTCCAGCAGCCTACACCCAGATAAGCAGGGATTAACACCAAGCAAACAATCAGGCAGAACACAATGCCTGTAATCAAAGAACTACCAGGGAGAAAACTACACACCCACCAATATTTGCAGAACAAGCTACTGTATATAAACAGGGAGCAAATACCACTCTCACTAGTACTGATGATGTTACCCAGTCGGGTAACAAAATGTCTGCAAGTAAAGTACCAAGGTCAGAGAATACCAAGGACTCCACAATAAGTGAAGAATTTGCTGCATTCTAAATGCACCAATTATATGGTGCATTTAGGGTAAACCTGAAGCTCATATAATACTGGTTTCATATTTTACGAAGTGCTAAAAAGGACCCTGTTTGTTTTTCAAGCTGAGCTATGTCCTGGATTTGATGGAAATGCTATTTTTAAAAAAGCAAATTAATAAGTTCCTATTTAAGTACCTATATTCTCAATAATGACACCTATAATCTATGGAGTAAAATTCATTCAGGCTATTGCTACCTGTCCATGAGCTTCATAGACAGGTAGCAACAGCATGAATGCATTTTAGCTATAAAGTAAATATACTTATTTATACAGTATTTGTCTCCACTGACCTAAGTCTTAGTTTGGTTAAAAATGATAGGAAATCTAATAAATGTCACAATTAATAAACAAAAGGATAAAAAGACAGTAGTAAGAAAGTTGAAAACAACTAATAATAATCAACCATGTTCTAATAGTCACCTGGAAGACTAAGAAATAGCTCTTTTCTTTTCAAACTAAAGGTTCATAGTGAAAACAACCTCAAAAGAATCTCAAATGATTTGCTGCCAACAAAAAAAAAAACAGTTGGTTGAGAGCACCATGTGAGAGCAAACAACATCTCAATCAGGTCATTCATTTTTATCTATTCGGCCAAAAAATAAATTGTAACAAAAGATTGAAATAGCTACTACAATTACAAGGCAATGTTCCAAATAAAGAACTTATTCTTAGGATCAGCTGATGCCACCTCCAGAGAATGGGGCAAAGATACCTTCAGTAGGGATCAGACCAGTGTAACATCAGGGATTATGTTAGCATAATAGCAACTACATTAAAGTGCAGCTTCATTAGTATTTTGGCAGACTCACTAACTCTTGGATTAATCTGCTTTGTAGGAATAAAACTGGGCCGAGATACCATTGCATGCCACTGTAGACTCCAAGAGGAAGATATGAAAACAAACAGATAAATAAAAGAATGCAAACAACATTTTTAATTAGAGGGCAGCAAGAAATTACGTTCCAAATATCGCTACTGATGGCCAACCTTGATGATTTTTTTTTTAACTTGTCAGGATCCCAGTTTGGTCTACAGCAGGGGTGTCAAACTCACGGCCCGCAGGCTGGATGTGTCACATGCTGGCTACGCCCGGTTTAGCGAAGGGGGAAAAAGCTGTGATACCTCACGTGATAATGCGGTGATGACGTGAGTTTGACACCCCTGGTCTACAGGTAGTCCTCACTGATGGAACTCAGACCAACAGCTCTGTTGTTAAGCTAGGTAAAGGTAAAGGTTCCCCTCGCACGTATGTGCTAGTTGTTCCCAACGCTAGGGGGCAGTGCTCATCTCCGTTTCAAAGCCAAAGAGCCAGCGCTGTCCGAAGATGTCTCCGTGGTCATGCGGCCGGCATGACTAAATGCCATAGGCGCACGGAACCCTGTTACCTTCCCACCAGGGATGATGCCTATTTGTCTACTTGCATTTTATAATTTATAAATACTGTAAATATATTTATTTAGGGAAAATTAGACAAATTGCTAGTTACTACAGTTATTGTTTCAGTTTATTTCCCCAAACAAAGTCAGGTATAATTTCTTAGGAAAGTATTCAATACTGTAAATTAGTAAAATTTGATAGAAGTAGATTTAAAAATAAACAAATGCACTTCTCAGACAGAAGTGGATATTCTAAGTGTGGAAAAAAGTTCCTGCAATACTCTGACATGTTAATATTATTGCAGATTCAACAGATGACACAAAACCTTATATAACCCAAGAAAATAAATGTATATATTATTTGCAGCATGCTAAATAAATATATTAAAGCTACCATTGGGATAAAATTATGTTATTAAAAAACATATAGGACGGTAGCAAAATGAGGAAACTTCTCGTTGTAGATGTTTTCAGTTTAAATTCTCTACTTGGCAAATAATTTTCTTGTAATTAAAGGACTTACTTAATAAACTTTAACACAGTTCAAAATACATGCATCAATATGGTATAAAATTTAAATAATCTCCAATGATTTTTTTTCAGAAAATAGTCTGTTATACTGTGGTCATAATGGTAATGGTAGTAAATCTTAAGTCCCGAAAGTATCTTGAGATATTTATGAAGATTTGAACAGCAGTCTAAAAAGGAAGGAAGCCTATTTCTACAGGAAATTCTTCAAGATATAAAAAAACCCCCCAGAGGTATCCAGATGTTGGAAATAATAGAGCAGAGGTGTCAAACTTGATTTCATTGAGGGCCACATTGTGTTTGACCTCAGGGGGCCAAGGTGGGCGTGGCCAGGTAGGTGTGGCCAGCTTAACGTCACTCCTGTTAGGAGCACCTGTGGTGGCCTGAGTGCTCTGCCAGAGAGAATGGGCTCCTGAGCTCCGTTTTCGGCTGCCATGGCCTCCTGCAACCCTCTGCCAGTGAAAATGGAGCATGCGGCCTTCCCGAGTTCTGTTTTCATTGGCAGAGGGTTGTAGGAAGCTGTGGCAGCTGAAAACAGAGCTCGGGAGCCTGTTTTTGCTGGCAGAAGCACCGCAGGCCGGTCCTTCGCTGTTTCCAGGGCGGCCCCTTGGGCCAAATCTAAGTACCTCCTGGGCCGAATATGGCCCCCAGGCCTTGAGTTTGACACCGCTGTAATAGAGTATCCACCATTGAAATCTGTCATCTATCTACCTATCCTAAATCAAAATATTTATGATGATGATGATTGTCTTCAAGTCAATCCTGAACAACATTTTTTAGAAGTGGGTTGCCTTGCCTTTTTCCTTAAGACTGGTGCACCAAAGTGACTCTCATACACGTTACAGCTGTTAGTAAACTTTTGGACATGTAACAGAAACCTAGGCTACATCCTACATTTCCATGAACATGACATAGCACGCTCGAGCGCATGAAAGCTTATGCCTTTTCATAAAATTTGTTAGGCTGGAAAAGTGCTACCAGACTCTTCTTATTTTCGACTACTAACAATCTCTCCTTCTACAGTGCATTCCTGTAGGATTAAGCAGTATTGCTTCCAATGTGAGTTAATTTGAGTAGACAAGTACATGATTGCAAGGTAGAATTGCAACAAAGCTGTGGTAAACAGATTAAATCCACAATTTAAAGATGGTGAAAATAATATTGTACTTACTTCCTCAGATGTTCCTTAATCCTGAGCCAATCCTCATATGCTTTAATGAAGCTTGAAAGGACATACATCTTTCAGGAGGACAGTTTATTTTTATTTATCTAAAAAATTTGTATAGCCACCCATTTTAAAGCTTAACTTTAGATGCACCCATTTTGAGCATAACTGTAGAGCAGGGCTGTCAAACTCCCGGCCCGTGGGACAGATACGTCACGTGCTGGCCACACCCATGCCCAGTTTAGCAAAGGGGGAAAAAGTCCCAATACGTCATGTGATGCTGCCGTGACGACGTGAGTTTGACACTCCTGTTGTAGAGCATAAAGGCATAAAGCAGTAAAATAAAACATCCATAAAACAAAGAAAAAAACCCCAGTGCCATACCCATTGCCCTGTGATGCCCCTAACATGCCAGCCACAGGCTCCCATTTCAATCCAGCCTAATACTTGGGGAAATAAGTGGCCAGATAACTGGAAAAGGGATGCCTCACAGGGTATGGACCACTACAGAAAAGGCAGTTTACACCATGCAATTGTGGTACATATATATTCTAAAACACATTGGCTGGGAATTCTCAGAGTTGAAATTTCTCTGTCTCCAAGCAGTTTCCTGCTTGGGGAAGGCAAAATGTAAAATGTAAGAATCCTGATGTTTTTTTAAAAAATTACTTTTAAAATATTTTCCTTATTTAAACCAGTTAATAATTTAAATATGAATAGCTTCTTCCAAAAAGTAGCTTACCTGAAAACTGCGAGACTCAAAGACCACAAAACTAATGGTTTTCTTAGTTCAAATTTTGCTCTTTTGTTCATTAGATGCCGACCACCGAATATAAAGGCAGCATATAGAGCAGAAAACAGGAAAGATTTTTTCCTAAAAAAGAAAAATGAAATAAACCTCAATGACAAAATGCTATTTGATCAGCCATTAGTGTGCAAATCTTCCACCTATATTTGAAGGTATGTAACACAGAAAAGCATTCAGGTTATTGCTACTGATATATGAGTTTTCTTTCAGTCAAGCAAAACATAGAATATTGAACGCAAATTAAGCACTCTGTGTAATAAACTCAAAATATAATTATAAAGTGCAACCCAGTTAAAATTACTTTGTGATCTTGTTGTGTTCCCAGTAATAACCCAGTATTCTGACATAAGGCTGCTTAAAGACATAATGTACCATGTTTTCCCAAAAATAAGAATGTCTTATATTTTTTTGAACCCTGAAATAAGCGCTTGGCCGTATTGCCATGAGCTCAAAAGCCTGATTGGGCTTATTATCAGGGGATGTCTTATTTTGGGGGAAACAGGGTAATTCTTTGGATTGGATTGAACACATTGTGTAAATTCAGCCAATCATGATTAAACAATGGTTCAACATGCCATATGAGCTTGCAAGTGGTAACCGAAATATAGAAAAACAAATTAAAGCATACGACCATGTTACATCTGAACTAGACCAGAATTTTCAGTGAAAGTAGTTTTTGTATGTTTTAATTATATGGGATTTTCAATGAGCATTAATAGAAGGTAACAGGCCAGCCTATACCTATCTATATCTATATCACCTGTATCAGAGTTCTCCAATCTTTCCAGCTTTGCGGACCGGAGGGGAGGGATGATTCCACAGAAGCGGCAGGCAAGCTTGCGTGTGCAGTGGTCATGCCCACCTGCTATTTGCACAAATCGTGTGCATGTGCACATGCTCGCCTGCTTGCATAAGTGGGAATGCAAGTAGGAATGCATGAGCTTGCCTGCCACTTCCATGACCCGGTTCCGAACGGCTCAAGGACCAGTAGTGAGCCACGGCCTGGGAGTTGGGGACATCTGACCTATATGTATATCTGTCTCGGGAAATAGCTTACAAGCATTAATTGGGATTTTGAATACTACTCTAGGCATTTCGGCGCGTCCAGATCAGGGGTAAAATCCAGCAGGTTCTGACAGGTTCTGGAGAACTGGTAGCGGAAATTTTGAGTAGTTCAGAGAACCGGCAAATACCACTTCTGGCTGGTCCCAGAGTGGGGTAGGAATGGAGATTTTGCAATATCCTTCCCCCAGGAGTGGGGAGGGAATGGGGATTTTGCAGTATCCTTCCCCTGGAGTGGGGTGGGAATGGAGATTTTGCATTATCCTTCCCCTGCCATGCCCACCAAGCCACGCCCACTAAGCCACACCACGCCCACCAAGCCATACCCACAGAACCGGTAATAATAAAATTTGAATTTCACCACTGGTCCAAATGCTCCTAAAAATATTATAATGGTGACTTCAAATACTGGATTAGCCTGTAACATAGCAGCAGATACATAATAGAGTTTCACTAGCATAATAAAAATGTGTCTTGGACTGACCTTAAATTAGAATTGAAACATAAGCATAAGGCACCGCAGGTTCAGCAACAATTCAGAAATTTCCAGTGACATATTCCCAAACAATTCATTTAGTGCAGTTGGAAAACAGAAAGTTATCTAGCTGTCACCTTAAAGAACAGGTAAACAGTTTCATAGTTGAAAATGAAATCCTTCAACAGAGCATTGAATCCAGAAGCAGATGTCTTGCTGAACTGCCAAGCTGCATTTTAACCTAATGTCTTCCTTTCTCCATGGTTATTTTACACATCACTTATGAAGGACAAGTAAAAATAGTTTCCTTCACACTGAGCTTGGCTTCTGCTGCTGACTGCATGGACATGTCTCTGTAGGGTTTTTGGCAATAACACAGAACTAGTTTCTCATTATCATTTTCCTACTCTCTCCCCCATATAGGCTATAGTCCAGGAAATGCTAATGGTCTCCCATCGAAATACTAATCAAATCCAGCTGTGTTTATCTTTCTCAGGTCTACATTGGTAGAATAGCATTCTCCTCTACCATGCTTATGAAGGAGATAGACAGAGAAACAGACAAACACCTCAGAGGTTTTCTAATCCAACCCCCTACTCAAGCAAGAGACATTTTAAACAAATGGTTGTCCAATCTCTTCTTGATAACTTCCAACGATGGAACACCCACTTCTGAAGGCAAGCCATTTCACTGATTAATTGTTCTAATTGTCAGGAAATTTCTCCTCATTTCTAGGTTGGTTCTCTCCTTGATTACTTTCCATCCGTTGTTTCTTGTTTTGCCTTCAGGAGCTTTGGAGATTAGACAGACAGACAGACAGAAACAGAGACAGACACACACACACACACACACAGAGAGAGAGAGAGAGAGAGAGAGAGAGAGAGAGAGAGAGAGAGAGAGAGAGAGAGAGAGAGAGAGAGAGAGAGAGAGAGAGAGAAACTAACCAATGACTGACTGACTGACTGACTGAGTTGAATCTGATCACATTGCATCACAAAGCAGTTCAAATAAAAAAATATTATTTCTCAACTCAGATAAATTCAGTTTCATCTTGGCAACTTTGCACTTATTTTTACAATTCTATAATTTTAACTCCTTACTTTTTGCTAGCATTTTAATCACTGCTATTGATTAATAGTTAATTAATTATTAATAGTTAATTAACTATTGATTAGTTAAGTAGTTTTAACTAATTAGCACATTTTATTTTGAGTATGTCTCTTGCTTTTATAATGTAACTTCTGTAAGCTGCCTCAAGTCCAGTGATTTTAAGAGAGTCTTATAACGTTCATAAATATTCATAATGGTACAGCTTGGACCCAAATTCTTTGAAGTAGCTAAGTAGCTTTTTAAATAATTGTCCCAATTGTAAATTTATATTAAACATTTCAGAATTATGAAGATAATTTGTATGTATGTAGACATACATACAAGCACAGCTGAGCACCATGAGACTTAACGCCATTTAGAGAATGCCTGAATCTTGGATCTCATTACATTTTTTCATTCCTATAAGCAAACTACAGTTAGGCAAAAATGATGTCTAAATTCTCCATGACATTAACTCAAATTATCTTAAATAGGTCAACAACTATATTTATACATGTCAGGTCATTTCACAACTTTTTAATTAGCTCCTTATTTCTGATTTTTAAAAGTCATAAATGCCAAATTATCTGCATATTCTCTTTATCTATGTAAGGAGTCAGTAAAGTGGACTCTTTCTTCACAAGTTAGCTCTATTGGAATTGAGCCTATAAATGGGCTGTAAAAGACTAAGGCATAAGCCTAACATGCCTGACAAAGTATCACACAAAACACTTGCTTTTTATTTTAGGATGGCGTAAAAGCTCAACACTCAGAATGGACTGGGAAAAGATTGAACAAGAATTGGTCTAAATGCATTGTCGTCTACTGAAAGCAAAGAGAAAATGTTGGGGTAGGTGGATGTATGGCAGCTGAATGCCTTTCACAGTTTTACTTATAGGAACAGTGCGATTTCTGGCATGGATGGATAGCTTATTACTGCATTTATCAACATCCTAAATTACTACGTTTCCCCTTTTTAAATGGAAATTTTAAATTTGATTTTAAAGTATTGGGGTTTTAAATTCAGCCAAATTATTTAATTCATTTTATTCTATTTTAAATTTTGTATTTATATTGTTTTATTTTATGGCTGTTCACTGCCCTGAGTCCTTCGGGAGTAGGGCGGTATAAAAATTCAATAAAACTAAACTAAACTAAACTAAACTAAACTAAACTAAACTAAACTAAACTAAACTAAACTAAACTAAACTAAACTAAACTAAACTACGTTTCAATGATCAAAAAAGTTGTACAATGAACATGTTAAAATGCCTGTCTTAATCTGAGAAGTTAGGGATAATTGTTGCACCAATTGCAGACTGGAAAATACCTATGAAAATCAAACTAACCCCAAATGTAACAGTGTTCAAGTACAATGGACAGAACTATATCAACCAATATTAAGAATTTTCAAGATTCCTATTCCAGTTCAATCCTTTAGTTCTCTGTCCTTCAAAGGGAGAAAATAAATATCATTTTGCAATGACTGCAGATGAAGGAAAACCCCTCATGTGGAAAATGTGTAATTCTAAACCAGAAGTTATTTTTAATGATAGATTTCTTTTAAAGCGTCAATGAAAATAACAGTCACTAACAAAGCAAGAGTAATAAACAAGTAAGTCCATACTGTTAAACATATTGCATTGACTTTTACATACTATTTTCACTCACAGCTTGATAAAATCTCCTATTTTTGTTGCCTTCTTAGTGGGTGTTGACTGGAACATTAAGTCTTAGAGTTTGCCAATTTGAAAACTAGAATAAATGGATGCTGGTACTCTATCTTTGCTTCCCAATTTTGGGTTCACACATTTTCTGTCACAGATCTGGCATAAAGTAAGGACACGGAAACACAATAATAATATGATTTAAAAAGTTGATGTTATTAAACAAGTTTTAGGTGAAAGAAATGAAAAGGAAACAAAAATACAGTCAAGTCTTGATTTTTTAAAAAAATATTGTCCTTTTTAGAGTCAATTCTTTGTTGCTAGTACCTTTGGATTCTCCAATGTAGCCTCATCCTATGTGCAAAAATTCAAAGGATCACTAGATGTGAAACAAAGGAAAAATAAGCCAACTCTTTGCTGTATCTGTTAGCTATATGAGAATCTGCATATTGGATAGTGTTAGTTTTCTCAATTTGATTTCAAGGGTTTGGTGCCTGTAGCAATACATAGAGGTAGTTCTTGCTTACTGACCATTCGTTCAATTACTGTTTGAAGTTTTAATGGCTTGAAAAATGGAGATTTATGAGTCCTTAACGTTGTGGCTGTTGCAACATTCCATGGTCACGTGAGTGCAACTTGGTCATTTGGCAATCAGTACTTATTTGGACAGAATCCTGTGGTTATATGATCAACATCCGAGATTGTCCCGCTTAAGCCACAGTAATACCCTTAATGACTATATTATCACAATTAGAATCAGGATTTTTTGCTTACTAGGTTACCAGTCATGCAAATTAATACTATAAATCCAGTTGCCCCTTTTGTTATATAGTATTAATTTGTCACCAAATTACCACATGCTGAAGATTAATATGTGGAGCTATTCCTTGAATTACAACAGAGGAAAAATTGTGCAAAGAGTTTTTCAACTTATTCTTAAGGTTGCATATTCTTAGCTCAGGACTCCTTGAACTTAATGGAGATTTCTTCTTAATAGATATTTGCAGATTGCATTAATCTGGCACTATTGTGGGTAGATATGAACCCTACGTGAACATCAAATCAGGATTTCTGTGCATAGTCATTATATTCTTAAACATAATCATACTGAAAATAATAGAATAAAATTTAACTGGAACAAGTACATTTCCTCACTCAGGTGTATTTGATTTCCTTAACTTGAGTTTCGAAATCAAGTAAGTCCTATGAAAAGAGATTTAGAAACCGGAGATGTTAAGCCTTGAGAAGAAAAGACTAAGTAGGATAGGGTAACCTAATACTTTTCACAATAGCTGAAAAAAATAGCATAAAGTCAGAATGTCAGATGTAAATGCCTTATTCTCCAATGTGTAAATAATGTATATATGGAACATCAGAGGTTAACTTATTCTTTGGACTTTAATGTATTCATAACTTACCACTCCCATTCCTAGCTCCACCCCTTGTATATATAAGGAGCCACCCTCACCATTCTCGTCGCTTCTACCTTGAATATTCAGTGAATATAGAATGCCTATCATAATTAAAAAGAAATATATTTAAAGCTCTAACTCCTATTATCTTTATTGAGTCTGATCCTGAAAATATTGCAACAAGCTGGTAG